GCAGAGATTTCAAAACCGTGAATTGAAGACAAAATAAGCCGGTAAGACTCTCCGCTATCTTTTCGTCTGTTTCGTCTATTTCTTTTCCAGCAGCCGCAGGATGGGTCAGTACGTCTGCAGTTAAATATTAGGGAAGGACAGGTTAGGGCCGGCACTGGTAAGGCGATCTAGGCAGCCATGTGTGATGTCAGACGTGTGGTAAGACGTGGTAAAAAGGGAAGAGACATGGCGTGAGGAAACACCAAGTTCTGTGATAAGCTTGCGGGAAAATATTTCGGCTTTGAAAAAAAAAATGACGAGTTTGTGATGGAGATGTCAGAGTAAGTTGGAAGGTCGCCACGATACAGATAGAAGGTGGATATCCGACTCCAGCCCATTACTTTTTGAACGGAGAACGATGATTGAAAACTGACTCATCTTGTTGCGTGGTTCGTCAAATAGCTGGGCAGTGGAGAGAAGGCAGGAGCGAATTCTGAGAGATAACAAGAAAATAATGGAGAAAGAAAAGATTAGCAGAATTAGAGATTTCAAAAGGGCTTGTACTGAAAGAATGGGGAAAGGAGAAGGGAGAAAATGGCGAAAAGATGGCCGGATGGGGAAATGCGAAAGTAGAGGTAGAGAGAAAATATGAAGCTAAAACGCGAGAGAAAATAAAATAAATATGTGAACGATCTCAAAACGATAGAAAGAAAAAAAAAAATAGAAAAAGATTTTCAATGTCTAAAGTACTATAAGAGACAATGTTTTAATTCGGCATATTTTTTTCTATTAGAAGGGCTTTTTAAGGATGTCTTACCTATCAATCAGCAGAGTTAATCGTTTATCATTAAAAATCTCAGTATGAGGCCGAGTATGTTGATAAGACTATCCAGCAGTTGGAGGTTAGAATCGGCCAGCATGCCCCTGCACAAATACGGAGACATGTTCCTGTAACATCCGGTCGCTCACAGGCTCAGATTCATGAGTCCGCTATCGCCGAACATTTATTGAACTCAGTGACTTGTATGACTGGCTACTCTGAGGAATTCTTCTCTGTTCTGCACAGAGCACGGACGAGACTCCAACATAACATAATAAGTTCCATAAATTCATACATAGATGATTTGAAGGACACATGGACCAGTGGATAAAGGTGTTAGTTAGATCCAGTGACTAGACCCAAAGAGTTGTGAGTTCGGAAACTTGTAGAATTGAGTTAGAGGGAAATAACCGAGACATCCGTAAGAGGTATGGCACGTGGAACTAACTATCTACCTCGGTGGACGAAATAAAAAATTCCGTTCGAAATTCCAATCAATTGAAGACAGCTGGAGAGTAAAACGGTCAAAACGTTGTGAATGTGGCAACGAAGATAAGTAATCAATTTCTCGCCAATTAAATCATTAACCTTTGCATTTGTTTTTGTGTGAATAATTCATGAATTTTTAAATTGATTGCACGTTTATCGTAATTAAAATAACTGATCCAAGTGCGACTTTTGGATAATAAGTGCGACATTACTGTAATTATTGAACAATATAGTTCATGCCACTTTGACAGAAAATTTACCAGTAAAAAATTCGTATATCACCATATTTGTACATGAACGCACAACTGTAAAAAATTTAAAATCAAACTCAGCGTTGCTACTGCGCGCTCCAAAAACAATAACTCATTTCCAATAGCATTTTCGGATACAACAATACATATATTTTCGTTGTCCTCTTAGAAAAAACAAGAACATCATCTATTCCATACCTGAAGATGTCTGTAGGAACAAACGAAAGCTTGTAGTAAAAATAAGAACTAATACGGCAGAAATTTATAGAAACAAGGATCTTTTCATTCATAACGGATTCGGAAGTTTTTGTATATTATTTGAATTGTTTGCGACGATGGATTTCTCGCCAATTAAATCATTAATCTTTGCATTTGTTTTTGTGTGAATAATTCATGAATATATATATATATATATATATATATAGTAAGTTTGATAAGCGATAACAGAATACTTAATAAAAATTTAGAGTTAATTAACATAATATGTTATGTATGCATAATATGAGATACCTACTGTGTCATCTGCTACCTCACTAAACTTTTGGTTTATTTTATTTTATTGACCCAATTCTTTAGTAGTTAAGCTCACCAAAAGGGATTTTTTTTATTTACTTATTTCCTTGTCCCTGTTTGCGTGTGTGGCTATAGACGGTCTTTATTTTTTAATAAAATTGTTTTCTTTTTTAACATGATAATTTAACGTATACAGTTTCCGGTCATGGGTTATTAAAAAAGTTGTCCCTCTCTTTTTTTCATTTACATGAAATCGTCTGAAGGTCTTGTGAGCGTGAAACTCGGGTTACGACAAGGGCCATCCTTTCATAGAAATTAATGCCGTCAATCGTTTTTGCTCTGTGTAGGTAATGTAGGCATTTGAGAACTGAGTAGGCATATATTTCCTTTTAGGGTTTTTTATTTCATATTGCAGTGCTTGTTCGAGGTATTAAGGTCTTTCTCTCAAGTTGTCTGTTGCTTCCACCAAAGATTTGGTTTGTCTTTAATATATATATATATATATATATATATATATATATATATGAGATTTTTATAAAAACATTATAATCGCTACACAAAATCTTTCATGTTTCAATATTATGATTGTACTTCGTCAGGCGATGGTAGGTAACTGGTGATTAAATGCTTTTTAGGGAAATTTAAAAACAAGTCGTTACCTCTTTTCCGAAAATTAAAGAGGGGGAATAAGGTCCAAATTAAAATTTCCCACTTTAACTTTCGGAAAAGAGGTGCCGATTTGTTTTTAAATTTCCTTAAATATCATTTAATCACCAGTTACCTACCTTCGCCTGAAGAAGCCAAAATGCAGATTTTGTGACAAATACCAGGAAACCATAGACCGTCTTATCTTAGGATGTTCTGTGCTTGCGCCAAATGAATATAAACATCCTTCACGATAGAGTGAGACAATATATACACTGGGTACTGTGCAAACACTTTGGAAAAGATGTTAACAAGCATTGGTATGATCATCAACCAGCACTGGTTACAGAAACAGAAGACATCAAATTATATGGGATTAAATAATTTTTACCGACCGGAAGACTGAAGCAAATAGTCCGGACAAAATAAGAATAAGCTTGCTTACTAATTGATATGGCATGCTCAGAGAACAGTAGCGGAATTTGAAAAAAAAAACTACTGAGGCATAAAGAAATAGAAATTAAAAGAGAAAAAATAGTAAATTGAAAACAAGAATAGTACCGGTCTTAGTAATTGTTGAAACTTGACTAATGCATGGAATAATAATGCAACACAAAAGGTACTTAGAACAAAATGTATTGAAACAAGAAAGTGTACACAATATTTACATATAGTCTTTTGTATATTCCTGGTAAGACCGTTCCTGGAGAATGTGTTGACTGAGTCGCAGTCGGGCAGAGTCTCTGGTTGAATCTCTTGATTCCTGTATTTATCTATCCACCCACGAGGATAAAATGTGGCACAAGTCCGGTTTAAAGTGGGTATCCCCGAGCCCGTAGGCTCGGCCAAAAATATGGCCTTTCTGAACCCGCCTAGACTACCACCCCGGACGAAATCCTGCCTCTCGACAAAGCCTCGTCCGGGTCCCTCACGTGATTCCTCTCTCTCTTCCCGGTACCAACCATATTTATATGGTCGGTACTCCACTATGCAAATTAGGTAGATCCTACCGCAACAGTAATTGGGATTGGTATGATAAAAAGGAACACACCAACGCATTGAAAAAATCCCTCTAAATCCCAGCTTAAATGAAATACAAAAAAATTGTCTTGATAAGTAGAGCTCACACATTAAGAAGAACTCTGTCCATGTAACACTAGTGATGTTATGGGAGTTAGAAAAACAAATCACGAAATGTAACCGTAACAACACACAACTATCTACCATAGGTTTTCCCGTAGACTTGGTAGATATCATGACCATATCAGAAATCGAAATATAATACTAATAAGTAAATAAATAAATAAATATATCAATATTTCTGAGATGAGGTATTATGCAGACTATTTACATTATTCGGACTATTGTCTTCATCTTTGTTGCCATATTTATTACAACGTTTCGGCCTTGTATAGTCCGGCCTTCTTCAGTTGGTAGGAATGTCGAATTTCAGTTCATCAGCCTGAGCCTGATGGAAGTTCAAAACCACCTCCTCGATTCTGGCAGTGATGTCCAAGTATGGCACTCGCCTGATGGTTGTGGCGAAGTTGAGGCCCTCAGGGCATATTGGCTGATGTTGATTACTGCTTTCACTGGTGGGTGATGGACCTTGTGCGTCACCTTCTGATCTTCGAATTATTTAATTTTTGTACTTGGTGAGCTTTGACTATATCGAATTCATGTCTGAAGGATTTATCCAAGTTATTTTTTTTATCCTTATTCGGTCTTCTTCATTGGTAATTCTGTTGAAGAAATCCTCGAAACTCTGGGAGGTATAAACTTGTAGTCTGTTTTATCCAACCATTGTACTGGATTCTCTCTCGGACAAGGGCGTATCCCACTTTTTCTACGACCAGACGGGCTCTCCTTGTATTAACGGGAAGTCTTAGTGCCAAGTCTGCGATCCATATAACATCAAGACAAACTTCAAAAATTTGACGACACTATGAATAATAATATGAATAGTATTATTTTATTTTGAGTTATTTGCGTCGTTGGTAACGCCTATATTATTGATTATTTGTTGTTTGTTTTGTTAATATTACGTTTTCTTGTGTTTATGCGTGTGGTTCGTCAATCTCTTATTATTTGCTTAATTGATTTATTTTTTGCTAACATATTCATTCATTTATTATTAAACAATACATAAGTAAAGGGGAATAGGGCCGGAAACTGAAGGGATATTTAGGTGTGGAAAGAAGGTGTAGCGTGTAACGATGATCGCTGATAATTATGAAAACTTAAAAAAAAACATATCAAATAATAACGATATAAGAAAAAATTACATAAAACAACGAAGTAAATTAGCGGAAGACTGAAGGAAAAGAAAGAAAGAATGAAAGAAAGAAAGAAATAAAAGAAAGAATGAAAAGAAAGAATGAAAGAAAAGAAAGAAAGAAAGAAAAGAAAGAAAAGAAAAGAAAGAAAGAAATAAAAGAAAGAAAGAAAGAAAAGAAAGAAAAGAAAGAAAAGAAAAGAAAGAAAGAAAAGAAAGAAAGAAAGAATGAAAGAAATAAAGAATTAAAAGAAAGAAAGAAAGAATGAAAGAAATAAAAGAAAGAATGAAAAGAAAGAATAAAAGAAAAGAAAGAAAGAAAGAAAAGAAAGAAAAGAAAGAAATAAAAGAAAGAAAGAAAAGAAAGAAAGAAAGAAAGAAAAGAAAGAAAAGAAAAGAAAGAAAGAAAAGAAAGAAAGAAAGAAAGAATGAAAGAAAGAAATAAAAGAAAGAAAGAAAGAAAGAAAGAAAAGAAAGAAAGAAAGAAAGAAAGAAAGAAAGAAAGAAAGATTATTAAACAAAAAAGTACACATGTAAAATATAAAGAAAAAGTAAAAGAGAACTTAAGGATAACGGAAAGAATGCCGGAAAAAAGAAAAGGAAAAGAAAATATTAAAAAAAAAATTGTATAATGAAAGTAAAATGATAGAAGAGAAAGACTACTATTAAATCGTAAATAATAATAATAATAATGTCGTGTAGAAAGAAACTAATAATAAAAGTAAAAGTAAAAATATATCAGCGCATTTGGTAACACAAAAAATGAAGGAATAATAAAATCAAAGCGAAAGAAAGAAGAAAAAATATTAAACAATTTGAATGAAATTATATAAAAGAAATCCTCACAAATAAATAACAGAAACAAAAAAAGGAAAACCTTAGAATTAAACATAGAATAAAGAATGTGGGCAAATTTCATATAATGAAACAAAGAAAATAATAAAAATAAAGATAAGATGAAGAACGAAGGAAAGAAAGAATATAAAGAAGAAAGATAAAGAAAATTATGAAAAAATGAAGAAATTATCAACAAAAAAAAGAAAGAAAATTATCAAAAAATAAAGTAAATATAAAAAAAGAAAATTATTAGAAAGAACTGAATAAAACTATAAAGAAAAAAGAACGAAAAAAAACAAAATTATTAAAAAATAAATAAATAAAAATACAAAGAAAAAAGAACGAAAATAATGGAAATCATCATAAGAAAGAAAGAAAGAAAAAGAAAGAAAGAAAAAGAAAGAAAAATCTCAGAATACAGGTTGATTATTCTCAGAAATATGGAAGGAAAAACATGGAGAAATTAAGAAGGAAACAAAAAAATAACTTGTTTGAAAAAAAGAAAGAAAATTCACTAAAAGAATGAAAGAAATTTACCCGAAAGAAAGAATTCAAATACTTAGAAAGAAGGAAATAAAAATATAAAGCAATAAAAAACGAAAATATAGAAACAATTCACTGAAAGAAAGATAATCGAAGGAAGGAATGAAAGAACATTCTAAGGAAGAAAGAAAAAAGAAAGAAAGAAAAAAAGAAAGAAAAAAAGAATGAAAGAAAAAAAGAAAGAAAGAAAGAACATTAAGAATTTCTCATGAAGAACGAAAGAAAAAACAAAACAAAGAAAGTGAAAAAGAGAGATGTGGAAAAAATTATAATTCTAAAGAAATTTCCGAGAGTGGCTGACCCAGATATACAGTGAATTAATCACTGTATCTTTCTGGCTTGTCTACTTCGTGGAATCTCTATCAGAAAATCTGGAGCGTTTGGCAGCGAAAGACATACTTGTTAGAAATTCCTTGGACCAGATATGACCATTTCAATAGAGCCACGGTGCTACATGGCATAGTGGAAATACATAAACAATACGCTGGAATGATTGAAAGTAAATCTTTGATAAAAATGCCTTCGTTCCCCGAAGGAATCCTGTTCCGTTCTTCGAAGCGGGAAATCTCCTAAATCAGGTGAAAGAATTGCGGCTTTCTGTCTTTGATAGAATTGAGAACATATTTACTAGGCCCGGGAAGAGGAGAAATTAAAAAAAAAATGATATCTGGCCCAGAACAATGCAGTGCCATAATCGCGAATCATATTCCTTACACATACATCGTGCTTTACACACACAAGCACACATACGCACACATACACATATACATACACACATACATACATACATATATATATATATATATATATATATATATATATATATATATATATATATATATATATATATATATATGAATTAATATATATATATATATATATATATATATATATATATATATATATATATATATATATATATATATATATGGGGGTTAAAACATCTTTCAGGGGAATAATATAGACATATTATGTCGGTTTTTATAATAATTCTTTATATATTTTTGAATTATCTTCTTGATGTTAAGTCGAAATTCATCAAGGAAGGCGGCATAGTCTTTGTTATCCCAAGCAATTTTGATCTCTGGGGTGAATTGCGAAGATAAACTTATTATAAAGGTGATCGTTGTGATGGCCTTTTTTTGTAAAAATGCGTGAACGCGCTGTGCTATAATTATTTTGAAAATTTCTATTTATCCGTTGTACGTACGGTTCTTTTTTTTGTTTTCTTTTTTTTGTTTTTTTTTGTGTTTTTGTTTGTTTGTTTTTTGTTTTTTGTTTTTTTTTGCGCGCGTCTCAATATAATGGAGCTATCCACTGAAATCAGAAACAAGTGATGACAGGCTGTTTCATACTTGAACGAAATCTACAGTCATATATTTATTTACACTCCATATCTGATTTAACAAATTCACCCATAAATAAAGAATACGTTAAAACTATCTATCTATCTATCTATCTATCTATCTATTCTATCTATCTATCTATCTATCTATCTATATATATGGAAGAAATTATAGTTGTTTCAACGAGAGAAAAGTGTATATTTTAAAAAGAAGATAAACCTATACTTTTTGTTTGAAAGATGGATTTTTTTTATTTTAAATGTATATATTTTATTCTTTTATTTTAAAATATATAATTTATACTTAAAAATATATTTTAAATATATATTAATACTGAAATATATATTTATATATATTAAGATAAATATTTTATAAAATATATATTCTAATATAAAAAAAATCACATTTTAAACAGAAACGTATAGGTTTATCTTCTTTAATATTAATAAAATACTCAAATATTTGTATCTATAAAAAGAGGTATAAACAGAAAATATATTCAAATATTTCTCAGTTTGAATTCAATTCAAATAATATGTTTTCATTATTTACATGAGGCTAAAATTTCAGATCAGCTATGACAGCTCTAGAAAACTCAGAGAAGTTTTGTGTTTAAAAGCAGTAATTGTAGATTTGTTAGTCGGAATTTCTCTGTGGCTGGAAGATCATAGCACGTCAGCCTTAATGATGGTTCTATATAGGAATACAGTTTCAATTCCTGTCGGGGAACGCATATTTTTTTACAAAATTTCTCTATTTTTCCGAGGCTCTTTCAGAATCATGTTAATTTTGATTATGAAAGAGCTTTTGAAAGCAGTGGACATAAAACTAAATTGATGTATATACATTCTTATAATTCTCCCAACACGCAAAGTAAAAAAAAATAGTGCTAGAAAGATATTAGGGTTCAACCCTCCATATAACTTAGCCGGCACAACTAAAATAGGTAAAATATTTTTTTAAATTATTAAAATAGAATTTTCCCACGTGCAACCTATTGAACAAAATTTTCGATAGAAATTATATTAAATTAAACTATACTTTTATGTCGAATATGGCTAAATTAATAAATAAATATAACAGGAAAAAAGCTACAAACAAACTACACACCTCCTAAGTGTAACTGAAGAAATAAAGATGCCTGCCCACTTAAGGGCAATTGCCTACAGGAATGTGTTATTTACAAGGTTGAAATACATAGAAACAAACCTAATAATGGTAATAAGAACAATAAAATTTACATAGGATCCACCCAAGTTAATTTTAAAAAAGCGCTACTATAACCATATAAGTAGCATTAAAAATGAAAATTATAAACACAGCACTAGCCAGTGCACATATATATGGAATATTAAACAGGAAGATGGAATAGAACCCATTTTAAAATGGGAAATAATAAAAAAATGACAAAGCAGGTAACAAATATTCATTATGTATGGAGGAAAAGATAGCAATAACTATTTTCGATAAATTACAAAATTTACTTAGCCAAAGATCTGAAATCTTAAATAGGTACAAGCATAAGAAATCGTTTTTATGAGAACAGAAGTTCGTTTTTTTTTGTTTTTTTTCATTGGTTCTTTCTTCTTTTGTCACGTGGTTTTATGCTATTTTAGGTTTATGTAAATTTTAATTTTTAGTGTTGATTTTATGAATAAATATATTCCGTGTCATTTCCTCCATAGCCAGCTACACTCTGAAGATCAGTTTAGGTGAAACCTAGGTAGGTAGTTCCCGGATCTTTAGAATTATTTTATTCCCATGCTTTACTTAGCGTATTGAGCATTCTATGTTTTGTCTGAGTTAATCGCTTGGGTTTCTTTTTTTTCTTTGAACTGGAAATTTAAGGAACTAGACAATTTTTTCGCCCTGTTCGGATGATTCTAGTTCTTTCTTTTTTTTCCAATTTTTTCCTCGGATACCAGTTTGTTTTGATATACTTGCAAATTTTAACATCCGAGTTTTTTTATCAACTCTGTATCTATCTATCTATCTATCTATCTATCTATCTATATATATATATATATATATATATATATATGTAATGGATTTATTTTACTCCGGCAATTTAATTACTCCAAACATTATTTTACTGGACCCTTTGTATTTGAAATAGACGCCCCATTTTTATTCATTAAAGAGTTTGGGATACGAAACTAAGCTAATGGAAGCTTTTCAAGAAAATAATCTATGTGGCGAGGATGTGGTTTCTTTAAAAAGGGAAAATAGAAGCTTGTTTGCTCCGAAGTTTTTCGCAGCAAAGCGCAAAAGCAAAATGGCTAAAACGGTGGTTACCCCCATAGAAAGGGACAGAGGTTCGATCCCTACCGGGAAACACATTTTCCTTTACTAAGATTTCTCGAATACGCAGGTCAATAGACGTAATAGTTTCTGTTTACTAAATACAAATGAGGGAGGGGTATCTTTTTCCAAATACGTATTATTCACTATTATAACGTCAGGAAAGAGACATCCTGATGTTATTGGTCTGGTGGAGGCGATACTAGCGTTGCGGCAGCACCTTTGGAATGTGCCTGAAAAACCATACCCCACGGGTTGGTCCAAGCCTTGTGAGGAAAATTGGGTAGATAATACCTTTTTGGAGCCGTCGAAAACTTTGCTAGCACGAACTCACAGTCATCGTGACAGAGGGTTTAAGGGTGCTAGCCTTGTTCAGATTCTGGAACATTGTACATAGCACTGTAGGTAAGGTCACCTCAGCATAGTTGCAGTATAAACCACAGGTGGGCTCTGTGTCTGTTGAACAAACATATAGCTGAGTGAGCGTCTGCAATAGGGATTGTCTAGCTACTGATGTAGGCGGGTATTCTCGAATAGGACTGGCCAGCTATATATTTCAAATTTCAAATTGAAACTAAAGCTGATCATAATTTCGATTTTGATTCTGTGAAGATTTTAAAATATTTTCATAATAAAAATCTTAGGCGGATTTATGAGGCAGGTATAATATCTATCTCACGCACGGTGAATACTAGACCCGGCTTCTTTAATATTTCCCCTTTTCTAGCAAGATTAATGCTCGACAAACGTACATATAAGTTTTAGATTAAAATAAAATTCTTTTCATTTTTCATTCAAAATACTATATTTTAGGAATACGTTTTCACAACATCGCCCACGTGACGCCGACGTGATCATATTGAAACGGAACGCTGATCTTGAAAAATTTCAGTTGTCTGTTTTGATTAGTCTTACTCTTATGTCCATCGTCTTTTCATGTTGAATTAAATATCGTCTAATGTTAATTATGTTTTATGAATATGTCCTGAAGATGGTCTATTAGACCGAAACGTCCGACGTTGTCATTAAACATTAAAACAGCATAATCGTATATTAGAATTTTTGTTTGTTTTTTCAGTATATTTTTCTTCATACTGTCGGATCTATATCCATATATTGGCTTACATATATATATATATATATATATATATAGATAGATAGATAGATAGATAGATAGATAGATAGATAGATAGACTGAGATATACTGAGATAGATAGATAGATAGACAGACAGGTAGACAAACGGACTGAGATAGATAGATAGATATTGATAGACTAAGATATATAGACTGCGATAGAAAGACAGATAAAATAGTTAGATATACATACATTGATTGACGTAGAAAGCTAGACTGGGGCATATATAGTAAGAGACAGACAGACTGATATAGATAGATAGACAGAGATTGACTTATATATGGTAAACTGTGACAGATAGAGTGATACATAGATAGACAGGCACACAAACAGAGATAGATAGATAGATAGATAGATAGATAGATAGATAGATAGATAGATAGATAGATAGATGTATTTTCGGTGGTAGAAAAATTTGATAGGATATCTACGTCTATCGCCCAGTTTTAGGACGTGAACATCATGCCTAACACTCATATGCACACTGTTACATTGAACCTGGGGGTACTCGCCTGAAACAGGTCCTATGACACCTGCGTCACCGCTCACAACACTCGAGACCATTACAAAATCAACTTATTATGATTCAATGTAGGTGCCATTTTTCATTCTATTCCCCTGGACACTTACAAGATGTTCCCTATCTCGTAATCCTTGCGGTTGGCGTCTACTGCCATGCACACTGATTGTCTCAGATAAGAAGCGACCATGTTATGGTCGATATGTCAAATGTTAGGTTGCTTCCGCTTATGGATTACTATGTATGTGTTCTCAATTACCTTGTGCAGGCCGTCTAAATCAAACTCTTTCTAAAGTTATATAAGTCACAATAAAAACTTTGTAAGAACCCCACTTGAGATTTGGCCATTGTTCAGAAACATTCGATGACCAGCACGACTAATCACAAGACACCCTTTCCACGTCAAGCAATTATCGCCATTGTTTATTAGGCCTATGCCGTCGCTGTAATCAAGTTGTTCTGGCTAGTGATTGGGCTTGACGTCGTGCCATCTGTTCATGTCGGTGAGATGCCTTCCAACACTTTGGCCGGTCCGGTCATGATGACAAAAGCACTCACATTGGACAGAGAAGTGTCTCCCTTGACGTTGTCGTTCAAAGGACAAGGAGCTGTGTTTTCCATTTACGTGAGTGTTCTACTGATTTAAGTCCGCCATTCTCGTCTGTTTCCTTCGCCCCTCGCCAATAAATTTGGGGTTTATCGCCTTTAATTGAGAGAATTTCTGCTATGCTTCGTATAATGCTCCACAAGATTTGATTCGTTTAGTTATTTGCAGAAAAATATATAAATACATACACACATATATGCATATATACCAGTGTATGTGTAATTGTCATTTAGAAAAATATGTTTGTTAATATATATATATATACAAAGAATCTATGAACTGTTTTATGATGGAATATATGACACCGAAATCTGAAGCAGCGTATGTGAATAGTAAAATATGTCGTCCAAATGTGAAATACTGAGAAACAAAACAATTTTGTTTGAAAAAATCGAAAAGACTACTGAAATGGTATCTAACATAAATCTTCGTATATGGAAAAGAATGGTGGATAATCTCGTCATAGATGAAGAGAAAACTGAAGGCAAAAGATATACATACGGCTACGCGAATGGTAATGGTCATTAAGGCAGCTAGACTCTATCAGATTGCGTTTCCAGACCAAAAGCAGCAGAGCCATCCAAACTTAACTGCCGTTTATCGTCGAGTTGCTGGTACAAGATCCGTGGCCCCAAGTTTGTATTTTGGGATTGTATATTGGATTGTACATTTGACAGCGTCTACCGTAAAATTTAAAGTATAAAAACGAAGGCTTTTTGAGCATATCTTTATATGGTCTTTGATCCTAGTTTTGGTGTGAAGAACCGGCCTTCAAACTGTATATATATTGTTTAAATATGGTACATTTAGTGTTCATTATCGAGGATAGACTGTATGTAATCCAACATAACTTGCATATGATGACTTCCGTCTTTAGCATTTATCAAGCACTCTATATATATATATATATATATATATATATATATATATATGTGTGTTGTGTGTGTGTGTAAAGCGTGCATCTAATGCTTAAATTGATATAAGTGTGCAAATCATTTTAGTACGGTATACGCCCCTCATCGGAAAATGCCTACAGGACAAAAGTTACTGTGAATTTCGAATTCATTTCATTAAGATTTGTCTTCGAGTCAAGCTCATTAGGAGTTGCTTTACATCAGGGGTTTAAAATTAAGGTTACATAAATTTGGTACAAATGCACATATTTAGAGTATGCAGTGAATATACTGCATAATAGAGTAAGAAATATACACCATTTGAAGGCCAGAGTTATTGTGATAAAAACAACAAAGATGAGGACAATACTACGAATGCAAATATTATAAGTAGAACCAAATAAATTACCACATCAACTTCCTACGCAGCAACACTAAACTTATTTAAGATAATAGGATTATTGTAAAACATGGTCATAAAAATACTCGGCCCTCTAACTTGGTGTAGCAATCAGTCTATGAGTGGTGCACCTTTGAATTCAAAAACAGGTTGGGCCCGTGGTTTACTACAAATCCAACCCTAAACTATCTGCTTGCAAAGGAAAACACAGCACCAACGTGGTGAGGATTTGGTCGTAAATTCTACAGGAGAGTCAGCAATGTTACCCATTCCATATATATATATATATATATATATATATATATATATATATATATATATATATATATATATTATAAATTGATTTATTTAAAATATTTTTTTCGCTACACAGTTCTAACCATGTTTCAAAAATGGAAGCTAAAAGCTACGAATTTAATTTTGTAATTAAATTAAAGACATTAGTTCCATTTCATCCTCAAGCGAATTTTGGAGTAACTTTTAAAATTACTGGGTTTTAAAGACACAGCTAAAATCATAATTCACGTTTCCAAGGTTACAGATAAATCTACTTCAACTGGACAAGGGGTGTCTGGGTGTTCATTATGTCTTTATTATTGTATCCGTTATTAGTTACGTTTTGGTAGGGCATAGGGATGTATTTTTCAATGAAATCTGACATCCGTTGAATGCATGTCGTCTGGATTTTTTTTTAAATTTATTGCTAACGGCAAAAATTCTTACGGCATTTTTTTCTATTTGTATTTTGGGGTGTTTAGGTTAGAATACGTTTTATTTAACTACGATTTGAAATATTTTTATTTTTAATTTTTCATTTTTATTATACTATATTTTTTAAGAACAATTAAATGTATTAGAATCCCTTATAGTATATAGAATTATTTTTACATCAAGTATAAGTATGTATATTAGGTTACAATTTTTTTCTTTTTGTATTTAAATATTATTTAAGTAAAATTTATCACAATGACGGCAAAAATAGTTATTTAATTTCACTGATTTAGTAAACTTTTATTTTTTATATAAACCTAGTAATATATTGTTTCTCATGTAAGTACGAAGGAAATGGGTCATTCAAAAGCTTACATCTTCTGGCATTTCATATTAATTTTATTTTACTGTAGGTGTTTTATTGGATTCTTTTAAGTGCGTGTAGTACTAAATAAAAGAAGTTTAGGTTACAACTCATTTTATTTAACTACAATTTTAATTACAACTTTAAAATATTTTCATTGTTAGTTTTAATAGACTATATTACTTTATAATAGAAGGAAATGTATTAGAATTACTTATAGTAAGTAAAATTATTTTTCCATATCAAGTATATGTATATTACGATTTTTAAACTTTTAAATTTAAATATTATTTAAGTAATATTTATGGCACTTACTGCAAAAAAATAGCTAATTCATTTCTCTGATTTAGTAAACTTTATTTATTTATTTATTCATTTATATATATATATATATATATATATATATATATATATATATATATATATATATAGAGAGAGAGAGAGAGAGAGAGAGAGAGACTTAGTAATAAAGTCTCATATGTATGTACAAAGGACTTGGGTCATTCAATGGCCTACATCATCTAGCTTTTCGTTATAATTTCATTTTTCAGTAGGTGTTTTATTGGATTCATTTAAGTGCCGGTAGTACTTTTTGAGAGGTGTTTAGGTTAGAATACATTTTCTTTAACTACAATTTTAAAAGATGTTTAGGTTAGAATTCGTTTTAACTACAATTTTAAATACAACATTAAAATATTTTCACTGTTATTTTAATAGACTTTTTTTTTTTTTTTTTTTTACCATAAAGAAAAAACAAGTAAATGTAATAGAATTACTTACAGTATATAAAATTATATTTCATGTTAAATAAAAGTATGTATATTACCTGATCGCATCTTTTTAAATTTATTTTTTATTTTCAAATTTTTAAATATTATTTAAGGAAATTTTTTGACAATGACGGCATAAAATAGCTATTTCATTTCTTTGATTCAGTAAATTTTAATTTTTTATAAACTTAGTAATATATAGTTTCTCATGTATGCACAAAGGACATGGGTCATTTAATGACCTACATATTCTAGCTTTTCTTATTAACTTCCATTTTACTGTAGGTATTTTATTTGATTATTTTAGATGCCAGAAGTATTTTGAGAGAGATGTTTGATTTTTGTATTTATTTATCTTAAATTAACTTTGATGTTGGTTGAATCTTTTTTTGAACTCAGGGATAGTGCAACCTATATATATATTTATGTTTTCAGGACTTTCAATCGAAGAGATATTGCATTGGTATACTAATGATTCAGTGCGACTTTTATTTTGTAGAGGGCAATTATGAGGTTTTCTACAGTTGTTTATTTTCATCAGTTTTTATCTTTATTTTTCCATTGTCTAAATTTTTTTGGTTTTGGTATAAGTGTTTATTTAAGATATTAACATTATGGTTCTTAATAATTTTTACTAAGTTTTCTGTACAGCTGTAACTCAATTTTAGTGTGTTTTTATTGAAAATAGTACTTAGTTTACTTTCACTAGGAAAATGCTTGACTATTAATGCGAGGAATTTAAGTCCTAATTTGTTCTTTACCATTTGGTTGTATGGGGGAGTATACCAAATAATTTTTCTACATCTGTTTTTTCTAGGCTTTCCATTTTCATTTTTTTTTATTTAAGTTAGTTTTGGGTTTTTGTAGCCACTCTCTTTTAGAGCCTTATTATAGGAATTGATATGCTCATCGAAAATCTTGTCATTTGCTGAATTTGTACTAATTCGTTTTCTGATAGATAACGGTATATGTTTAATTATAGATGGGGGTGATTTGATTTAGGGTGTATATATAAAGGGTTGGTGTTGGGTTTTTTATAAGCTGTGTATGTATTTTTATTTAGATCTAATGTTATATCTAGGAAGTCCACTTTTTTTAATTTAGTGTTAACCGTAATTTTTAAGCCCATGCTTTTAAATTCTTTATATAATACCTTTCTAATTCTATCTATTTTGAAGTTAGTTGAGTTTCTAATAACCATAAGTCCATCGTCTCTGTACAAACCAATGTCATTTATATTAATATTATAGTGCGCTGTAAGGTTGTATAATATAAAAAGACCAATGAGATCAGAAAACTCAACTGAGTCTAGTGACCCCACTGTGATGTCAAAGTGGTCATAAAAATTCTTAATCCATTGCTCACCTTTATGTATAAGTACCGATTTTTTCGCATACAGAATAATGTTCTTTTCTTCATCTGTAATATCCGTATAGTGGGTGGCAATGTCCAACGCATTGATATATAGTTCTTTAGATATTGATTGGTAATAATTATCAATATCAAATTGCTTTAGTGTACAATTGTTTTTTCCTTTCATGTTAGTAAACCAGTTTATCACTTCCTTGGTATTAATCCAAAGTTTTAGGCTTATTTTTTCTTTAATTTGTATATTTACCCTTTCAAGGATCTTTTTACTAATTTTACCTATATCCGGTCTTGTAGGATTTATTATCCTTGTAGTGTGATTAGCCTCAAAATCTGGTTTATGGTCTTTTAAGGTTATGTAGCATTCTTTTTGATATAGTTGACCTACCCTATCACTGATCTTTAGTTTATCAGTGATTTCCTTACTGCTAGTATTGATATCCCGAACTATGTTGATGTCATTTTTATTCGCTTTTTTGTAGTTATTATGTAAGTCCTTATTTATTAGGTCGTTGTATTCCTTTATGGTTGTTTTATAAAAGTTTCCAGTTTTGTCGGATTTTACAAAATTTTATCTGTAGCGTTAATATCCTTTACTATCTTATCTAGGCGTTTTTGGAAGTAGCATTTCTTATCATGGAAATTTATGTTTGTAAATTTACATTGAGCACTATTTTGTAAAAATAAAAATATCTATAAGAGCACCGGATTATATATCTTTTGTTTTTTTTCCTTTATATATATATATATATATATATATATATATATTTATATATATATGTGTGTGTGTGTGTGTGTGTGTGTGTGTGTGTGTGTGTGTGTGTGTGTGTGCGTTGTCATCCACAGACAGACTGTTTCATGCTGTAACACAGCTCATCATTGTCACTAGACGTCCGGTTGCATCTAGCTGGTTAAAAACCCGCTGAATTGGCGTCAGTCGGAGATTCTACCCATAAGTCGTTGGCACATGACAGGGGTCAAGGTGAATATGAGCGTAACTATTTTTGGATAAACACACAACGACTAAGAGAACTCGATTCGCTTTACCGAAGAGCCTTGCATTATTAGCCTTATATATATATATATATATATATATGTATATGTTTATGTGTGGCTATGAAAATCTCTGTCTGTCACAGTTTTTCAATTAAAAGAGCACAAGTCTCCAAATTTAATCTCTTCTTTAACTATATAATAAATTCGAACATGTCAGTATGTTATACTTTTTCAATTGAAGGGACACGACTCTTTGATTTTCAATATCTTCATTATTTATATAATAAATGCGAAAATGCCTGTGTGTCACACTTTTTCAATTAAAGGGACACAACTCTCAATAGCTCATCTTCATTGAACTGAAATATTAATGGAATGCCTAATATAAAGCTTATATATTAATGGAATTTATAAATGCATCGATCAATTTTGTGTTCTTCTGTAGTTTCTTGCATCTACTGTTCCCTTCATATTGTGATGAAGACCGAATCAAGAGCTCTACACGGGATCTAGCTTAATTGCTGTCCGATAGGGTGTCCGCAAGGACACATGGCACAGTGGATAAAAGCGTTGGTTAGATCCAGTGACAGGACACAAAGAGTGTGAGTTCAATACCCGGTTAAGGCAGTGGAGAACTTTCAGAGGGAAATTAGCAGGAGATAACTGATGACTGACATCCATCAAGAGATTTTTGTGGCTTAGCATATATGCTGATTCCTTAAGTTTACGAATTTTCCAATGGTGTTCCCTATCTATGATCTCAACATGATCCCACAGAGGGCGGTGATCTCCCTTCTCTCCCCAT